GAAAGAAGAGAGAAAGAAAAAAGGAAGCTCAGTGTGAGCTTTTTCTCCTTAAATCACAGCAATGATTAATTGTTTAGTTAGGGATTTTTCCCCAAATCTAGACAAAAATTATCTTGCTGCACCCTATCCTTTCACTGGACACCTGTAGGACACTGCCTTTGCTCCATAAACACCATTGCAGATTACCAGGGCCCCCAGCAGCACTAATAGACATTAATGGACCTGAACAGCCCCACCTGAGACCCTCACACATCCCCTCCCATGGCCCAGGGGCTCTATTTAAGCTCAGTCCTTCTGCAAGATGCCTTGGAGGAATGCAGTCATGGATCCTGCTTATCCACACTGTGGGCTGTATTCCCAGCCTGCCTCCTGCCCACGGACCTACCTGATGCTCCCTCAGCTGCTCCCCTCTCTCAGGTACTGCAAAGATGGGGTGAAGGCTGGTGATGCTGTCATGCTCAGCTTCCCTGTCCCATAGGAAACCACTAACCCTCACCATTCCCTGACACAGACAGTGATTTCATTCCCTTTTTTCCATCTTCCCAGGCTACAAATCTCTCCCTCCTCATTCCCTTGAGGTTTCCATGTCTAGGGAGGGAATAGGAGTAAACTGGAACTAGGAAAGCCCAACCAATTAAGCCAGTAGCTACCTGCTGGGAGAACCCTCCCTATATTTTTTCCTTCAAAAGCTGTAAATTCTCCCCTGGATGAATTTGCTCACCGATTGCAGACTCTTCTCTTCTGGCCTTTGTGTTGAGGTGTCCAGCTGGGAAATCTCTGAGAATTTGGTGGTATTTTTTGCCTGCCTCTTCTCAATCTCATTTTTCAGGTCTTCCAGCTGTGAAAGCAAAAAGAGCTCATGTTTTCCTGGGACCTGCAGCGTGCCTAAAATGTGAGCTCGATCTGCCAGGGCACAGCTTCTGTCCTTCTCTTTTAAGATGCAAATGAAGGAGCAATGGGATGAGAAATACCATGGGGAATTCATGGACAGGCATTTTCCCACAGGAAGAGATCACCTGTGAACCCAAATCTCTACTAAATTTTCTTGAATTCCTGGAAAAATCCAAGTGGAAAAAGAAAATCAAACCTGATGCGAAAAAAAACCCCATGGGTTTGGGAAGAAAGCTGCTGATAAAAGCCACAAATACACGTGCATGAACTTGGGCAGAAAGCTGTGCTATTATTGCACTTTTTTTTATTTTGCAGTGGTGCAGAGCAACCAAAAAGGATCTAAAGAAATGACCCTGAAGTTGGTGTGTTACTGCCCAGGAACTTGAGAGGTCAGGGAGATTGACACCTACCAGATCCTCCAGCTTTCTGCTCTCCAGGGTAGCTGTCCTTCCTCTGAGACCTTCTCTCTCTTCCTTCAGAAAACTTAATATCCACCTGAATTTCTTCTGAAGTGAACTAAAAAAACCTGTTGTTTTTATCCCTTTGATGGGGCTGGATCTTTCTCTTCCTGTTCCTTCCCAGTGCTGGGTGTAAAACTGCGGCACAGATATGTTGAGCCTGCAATTCGGCTCTTTGCACCATGTCTCCTGGGGTGGTGATGACACCCTTGGCCAAACCTGCTGGGAGCATCATGTTTCTCCCTTGTCAATCTTCCAGCTTTTTATCCTGGGGAGCTGTTGAGGGCTGTCACCTTGCTGCTTTTGTCTCCTTCCTTTGAGGGCTGGGCCCTTGCAAAACCATCAGCCCTCCCAGAAAAGGGCTGGAACAAAAGATATTTGGGCTGCCAGAAGGGTGAGGAGCTCTTGAGGCTTGATGGGACCGTGGACGGAGAAAGCGTAAGAAAATAGGGAGGGAGGTGTGCAACCAGAACCTTGTAGATGCTGGAACTCAATGCACATAAAGGGGCACAGGGGGACCCCTGCCACAAATGTGCCTATAGCAGTTCATCACTACATGTCCTCCAAGAAAAGCACTGTCCTGGCTCTGAGCTCACAGGGAAGTGTTTCTAAGCACTTTCTAACCCACTGCTCCTTTGTTAAGCTCCATGGCTAAATATATATATTATTATTTTGCATGGCAGCAACTGGGAGTTTTAGAGACAGGGTCACTGTGACCCAGCTGAAGGGCTACCAACTGAGAGAACTCCCCCAGCTGCAGTCACTTGGACAGGTTTGGAGGTTAAAGTCTCATTTCCAGCAAACTATTCCCATCAGAAAGAGCCACGGGGGAGTCGCTCACTCTGGAAACAGCAAGACTGGAAGAAAACACCCTGCAACCACTTCCCAGGGTTGGGGTGAGCAGGTTGGGAGGCAACCTGTCCTGCCAGACACAGGAGGTGGGTGCAATTGAGATAATGTTGGCATCTAATGGTACACCTCCATCTGAGTTGGGCTGCTTTGCTCTTCCATGGAGAGAGGCTCTGCTGACGGCTAGGGCACAGCTCCTTTCATCTCAAAATTAGGTGCCTACGGTTGGGCAAATGAGTCACACCCTAAAAGTGTCTACTAAGAGCCTGGAAAACCAGCTGGGGTGGAGACATCTGCATTGCATATTTCTAGAGTGAAGGGACACCTTGGTAGAGAGCTGGAGCTGAGAGAGATCTGGATGGAGATCAGAGACATGAAGGGAACCTGTGGACCTCAAGGAGTCAGAAAACCATCGATCTCTGGCTCCACGGAAAGCATAGAGTTTTACTGGGACCTGGTGTTTCGTGTCTTGTGTTTCTCAGCAGGTGCCTCTGAGAGAAGTGTGGTGGGACCACAGTGTTTCGGGGACCTCCGGCAACCCACAAACGTGTCCTCGCAGAACAGCTCAAGAGCTCTTGCCCTGATTCACCCAGGTTTTCTTCTATGGTTCATCTTGCACTGATGGTCTGTCTATTTGAATTCCCCTCTGCCTTTCCCAGCTAGGCTTGAACTGGTGTCAGGACAGGGACCCAACATACAAGGTGACATGGAGGATCATACTCCTCCCTGTCAGAGATGTCACAAAAGGGAAGGGGATGAGAAGGGAGAAAGAGCAAAAATATTCAGGGGGTTTTGCTCAAAAGTCTTTCCCAGTAGCCCTGATTACCTATTTTTTAAATGAATCCTCTTGCTTGAGCTCCTGAAGTGATTTCAGGTTGGCTTTGAAGAAAGCTGATGTCTATCCTGCAGCGGGATCCCCCATCTTTCCCAACTGATGGGACCAAGTGACAGTGATGACTGAAGAGCATGGATGGAGGGAAGATGTCACAGCATGACAAACAGCACCGAAATACTGCTCGTAAGTTTGTCCACAGTGGGACCCGTGGGGATGGTGAGATGGAGCTTCATCACGGGGTGCCCATTCATATCTCATCTGTTATTCTGAGCCTAACATCACCCGTTCCCTCCCACTCTTGCTTCTGGTTCCTCTTCTCAGTTTTATAATCAATAATGTGTATTTATTTCGGTGATGCCTCTTCCTCTTTTGGGTTTTCTCGGAAGAAAATCAGCAGGTTTTGAGGGAATCGATGCAGGTGAGTTAGGTGAAAATGCTAGAACTTTTATTTCACCTATCCACTCCAGCTGCTTTTGTAATCGATGAATATCTAACCAGCACAGCCACAGGAGCCTCTGGTATGATTTATCCCATCTTGTCCCTCCCAAACAGTCAACAGGGAGAAACAGGCTTTTCTTGGGAGTTATCCAGGAAGCTGGACATGTATAATGGTGTGGAGAATTGCATTCCAGGTGGGTTTGTGTCCCTTCAAAGCCTGTAAAGGGAGCTTGAATGACTGGATGTGCACCACGAGAAGGTGGAAAAGTAAGCAAGGTGTCCCCATTCCGTGCAGCTTTTCTTAATTTTGCTGACCCAAAAGCTAAGAAATTGAGAATAATACAACCATAGCAAGGCAGAAAGTGGAGAGTGCAAAACAAAATGTTCTTTTATTTAAAATAAACATCAGAAATATAGACAGACATAGAGACCAGCTCCCCAAACCAAGCCGCTTTGTAGTGAAAGGCCACCTCCCTTGGCAGAACAGACTCTGGATCTGCCTTGCAATTAATATCAGAAGGAAAACATTTTGGAAAAAGATACAAACAGGAGTATTCACTCCATTAGAAGCAAAATCTATTTAAAAAGACCACACACTTGAAAGTCCTGAGTGTTCTCCATCCTTTATCAACATCTTGATGTTCCCTTTCCTCTGATGTGCTGACTCCATCACTTCATCCCGGCTGCTCCTCTCTCCTCACTGCTGTCTGCTGATGTCCCATCTCCCCATCCTTGCCATACAGGTGCCATCCCAAAGCTCACAATGGATGTGGACATGGGAGAGGAGCAGCAAGTTCTCTCAGCGAGATGCTCTGAGGAACCACAGCAAACTGCTGGCATCACACAGGAGATGTCCCTTTCGTTAAGGCCTGATTAACAGACATCTCAAGGGCAAATTCGGAGGGGAGACTTGAATCCTACCCAGTCCAGAGGCGACATCAGGTGCCCAGTCACTGACTGGTCCTCTGAGGGTAGGGTTTGGGTGATTTCTTGCAAACGAGCCCCTATCCCCATCTTGAACCAGGGGAAGACCCTCTCCCCATTGAACGAGGCTCTGGTATAAACCAAGATGGGAGCGTCATCATCTGTGCTGAAAAATGCCACCCGCCCTCCTTCATAGTCCAGGGAGACCCGTATCCTCCTGGGAAGTGGGTTCAGGCGCAGGTTGGTGCGGGGGGATGTGAGAGAGTGATAAGCTTCCAGCGCCCAGACCCCCTCCTTGGGGGTGAGGCTCATCAGTCCTTTCCTCTTGACCGATGCTCGGGCCACCCCCAGGGCCCAGACGCCTCCCTGCCCCACCTCCACCTCCCAGAAATGCCTCCCTGAGGTGAAACCCTCGCAGCCCAGCACGCAGGGTTCAAAGTCAAATCTCTCCGGGTTGTCTGGAAGGTCCTGCTGCATCAGCTGGCCCCTGGCTTGCTTTTGGTCTTCAGAAAGGTGAAGGTTGGGGTGAGCTGTGGCCGGGTCCAGGGTCACATTGGCTGCAGGACAGAGAGAGAACCAAAGTATTGGAGGTAGGGCTTGGCCCCAGGAGAGGCTGGAGAGGTTTCTTTTCCTCCCAGCATCTTGGACCAGCCCTGTTCTCCTGCTTCTCCCAACTCTGAATGCTTCATGGGGGGCATGGGCAGGTCTGGGGCTAGCCTTGGGGTGCCCCAGCAGAGATGCCTCCGAGTGGAAGGTGACGGGGGAGAGGACAAAGTATGGAGCAGAGGCATGGGGAAGGGATGTGGGGGGAAACTCATGGGGAGGGAAGGGGAAGCGCAAATGTTCTTCTCGGGTGTTCTTTTTCTTTGGGTCCCAGAGGCGCATTTCACTTTATTAGGACCATATCTCAGCCCCTGGATACGCCAGGAGCATCAACATCAGGATGCCGTCACCCTTCCCTTCCCCTCCCTGGGGATATTGCGTTATTTTTTCCATGGGAATTTCTTCCACAAGCCAAAGCCCCAGTCTCTCCCACCCACCACCATCGACTTACTTGGCTCTTGCAATTTAAACATCAGGCTGTCTAAAGAGGAGAGAGATTTCGCAGTGTCAGATTTGTGCGTCAGGCAAACTGGTTGCAGTTTAGCTTTATCATGCAGGCTGGGGAGGCGAAACAGCTAAAATGGAGACTTGGGAGGGGAAATATCAAGTGTGTGAGGGCTTGGCTGGATGCAAAGGCTCGGGCTTGACTTGCTCTGGTGCAGGTATTGATGCTGTGATAGCTACTCAATTCTTCCAAAGCCAGGGGAGATGAACCTCCTGATCAAGCTAAACTCATCTCCAAGAGACACTGCAACAGATTTCTCCCCCTGTTGTAGCATCCCCTCCTTGGCTTCGTACCCTCATGAGCTTTAGTTTTCCCACCAGCTTGGAAGTGATGGGAACAAGTGCACCAGCAGCTCTGTTTGAATTTGCTTTTCACCTGGGACGTGGGAGAGGAGGCTCCTTTGCTGAGCTTGTTTTTCTCTCCTCTCCACTTCCCAACTATATTTGCCCCAGGAAAAACTGTCAGTGTCCTTCTTTAGTTAAAAATTTTAGCTGCATTTATTTACAACAGTTACTAGGTGGGTTTTGCATTAGCAGCCAGCACACAAGAACCCAGTTTCTCCCAGATATCAGGCACACAAGGCAAGGTGCCTTCTCCTAACCCTGCTCGGTACCTTGGCATTTCTGCAGCGTGCCTCTCACGAGGATGTTTTTCTGAACAAAGTCCTCGAGTTTTCTTTCCAAATGGGAGGAAATCTCCACCGGAGGGCTGAACTTCATCATCTCACAACTGCAAAGAGAGAACAAGAGGACAAAAAAACCCATGTGTGATATATTTGATTGCTCGTTTTGTTCTCATTAAATAATCCAGAAGAAGCTATGGGGTGGGCTGAGGATACTTATCCATTAGCAAATAAAATCCCCCATTTCCCTGCCCTGTTTCTTTGCAGTTTGTTTCCCCCAGGCAGTCGCTGAATGGATGTTTCTGAACACAAAGCACCGTTGCGGGAGGCTGAGCTATCAACTGCATCCATCTGGTTCGAAACCCCGACCTCAGGATTCACCCAGGTGGCATCCAGACCTCTCCAAGCATCAGAGTGTTGGAAAAGTGAGAAGGAGCCATGTTACCTGTTCAAGAGTCTTCTGATGTCCTAAAGGTGCGAAGAAAGAGGAGAGACAGTTGTGGAAGAGGAGCAACACGTGTTGCGTCTTCTAACAAAAGTTATATATTTTTCTGGCAATGCAATAGCAAAGATCCCATCTGCAGCAATGCTAGAAGACACCAGGGAGGTCCCATGGGGCTGAATTTGGGCTCCCAGGTCTCAGGCTTAGCTCTATCCCTCCTTTCCCCACCAGCCCTTATGATTTGGGCTCTCACCTGCAGGAATTGGCTTGCCGGTTGCTGGAATTTCCCCTCCATCTCCCATATCAGGGTGTCGAGATTGGACATCTCCTCTGAGACCTTCGCCACTGCTTCCTCCTGGACCCTGGTGATGGCCCTGTCCAGATCTGCCAGCTGAGTCAGGAGGAGGCGCTCTTGGTCCTTCAAAAATCGATGCAATTGCTGGAATTCACACACTATTTTCTTTCCTTCATTTTTGGTTTTCTCCTGCCAGGATCAGAGATGAGGGCAACAGGGATGAACAAGGGTCAGAAGACCTCCCTGTGCAGCAGAAGGCATGCCGCAGCCATGTCTATGACTCTAGCTACTGAAACACTGGCAAAAACATCTCTCATGGATTATTTTTACATCATTCTAGTTTCTATTAATGTTACATGTCTGAGGCTGATGCAGTCTGTGGGGCTGCAACATCCCCAGACCTTCGCAGAAAGAATCACGGTAGCCTCAGGTCAAGCTCTGCAAGATGGGCAGGAGATGATGGGGGGCTACAGAAAAATCCTACCACCCCCAAGAAAAACAGATTAGTGCTTCAAGACCACCAGGTTGATCTCAGGATACCCTGTCCTCAGTGATATTCAGTCAATACAAGGGTGAATTTAACAGCAAACTGCCTTGCTGGGGATTTAGGTAGTAGCAGGGACTATTCAGGATGCTTAGCCTGGAAGCAAAATGAAAAAATGCCTCAACTGGGCTCTATAAGAGAGAGATCTATAGAATTTGGGGGGGGGGGACGGGACTTCCAGCCCATCTCTCTGTACCAGGCTGGGGACTGTCTGCTCCCCCAGCTCCGTTGCAGAGGAGCTGCAATGTTATCTCCCCGGTGCAGGCTCCAGCTGATGTGAAACCCCAGCAGATAAACACAGGGTTGGCTGGTGCCCAACAATGTGCTGCAAACCAAATATGCAAGATCCGGCCTCAAAATACACCAGCAATACCGGGGTGGGTGGAGAGACCCATCCTCCCCCAGGCTCCTGCTGGAGGGCACCTACCAGGTATGAGTTCTTCCTCACTCCGGTTTTTCTGCTTTCCAGGTATTTTTCTCTCTCTTCCTTTAAAGCCTGTAGGCAGGCTTGGATTTCTTCCTGAGGAAAAAGTAAAGATGTTCCTGGAACTGAGAAAATGAAAAAATCCCTTTTTTCTCTTCTGCTCTCATCTTAGATGGGAGAAGCTTTGCCTAAACACTGGCTCCTCTGCAAGGAGTAAAACTGGAGGAGGAGGAAGGTCCACAAGTGACCCATGCTGCTCTGAAGACTTGCGCAAAGAAAATGCAACCTGCAAGCACCAACCTTGCTGCAAGCGCGGGGAAAAATTCTGCAGAAGAGCAAAACACCAACAGTAATCAACAGCCCATGTCCCAGGAAGTATGTAAGGGTGAGATAAGCGCATAGTGAGATTTCCCTCAAAAACACTCCTAGCTTCCAGAAATTGGTGGCTCTGGGATAACTATCTCTGTATTTAATAACCCTCAGTGGATTTATTTAGTGTGCATTTATAGAAGTGCTTTTGGAACGCATAGAAACCTTCAGCATCAGCAACATCTTGCAGCAAGGATTTCCTCCTGTTAATGCTGCACGATGTTGCACTGTGTTTGCACGGCTCTGCCAAGTGCCTGATTTTTTGGTAAGAAAGATGATGAAAACAGGTTT